AATGCTATTTAACCCCTTAAGGATGGCGGGTGTTCTATGCCGTCCTTAGGGAACCAGCTCTAAACGCCGGAGGGCGGCATAGAACGTCTAAGCCGTCCTTTGTACTTACCCGGTTGCCGGCAATCCCACACCGGCGATCGCGGTATGGGGACTTACCTGGGAGCCCAGGGAGTCCCCCTCCTTCCTCTTTGGCCCCCCTGGTCCATGTGATCGCGAGGTCCTTTCGAGGACCTCGTGATCATATGGATGGCATAGCCGTCAATGCCAGCAGGGGGAGTGCCTGTAATGACAGGTACTCCCCCTGCTGCATGAAAAATGTAAAAAAATAAAGTTAATAACAGTTTAAAATAAAATATATACTTAGATCATATATATCTTTATTATATATATTTAATCTAAGTATATATACACATATACATACATACACATACACTGTCTAAGTGTATTTTAATATTAATATATATATATAATTATAAATATATTAATATCAAAATACACATACAATGATACTGATTAAATATATGTATAATTTTCCTTATATATATATTTATATAAAATATAAAATAAATAAATATGTAAATACTTTAAAAAATTAAATAAAAAAAATAATAAAAAAATTAATAAAAATATATATGTGTAAATTTGTTCTAACTGTATTTTAAAATTAATATATATATTGATATCAAAATACATGTAGAATGAAATAATATATATACATATATCACTATACATATATAAACCTATATATAAATAAAAATAATTAAAAAACATTATATATATATATATATATATATATATATATATGTATGTATAATAATTCTATGTATATATTTATGTAATTATTTTACATAATTAGGTCATTTTATTAATTAAAATTTGCGGCACCTGCCTGACAACCCAGGCCAAAATTCCAGAGAATTTAATTTGCTAGCACTATATTTAACCCTGTAACTTTCCAAGACACCATAAAACCTGTACATGGGGGGTACTGTTTTACTTGGAAGACTTCGCTGAACACAAATATTAGTGTTTCAAAACAGTAAAATGTATTGCAACGACGATATTGTCAGTGAAAGTGAAATTTTTTGCATTTTTCACACACAAATGGCACTTACACGGACGATATAATTGTTGTGATAAATTTTACTGTTTTGAAACACTAATATTTGTGTTCAGCGAAGTCACCCGAGTATAACAGCACCCCTCATGTACAGGTTTTATGGTGTTTTCAAAAGTTACAGTGTCAAATATAAGGCTTGCGTTTCATTTTATCAGCTCTATTGCCTTTAGAATAGTATTTTAATTTTAATCTATCCAAGTTTTTAACAGTTCTTTCCATTAGTTTTTGATTTATGATTTCTTTCACTACTGGTATTTTCTCGTAGCTATCAGGGACGGAGATTGTTTATTAATTTGAATCAAATTTCTTAATTGAGTGTGTAAGTAAGATAAAGTGGTGTTTTTGTCAACTTGACTTTGTAGCTTAATAAAATGACCACTTATTACAGCCCTAAAGGCGCACCACAAAGTGGGTGGATCAATATTTTCTGAAATATTTTCTTTAAAGTAATTTTTTATATTATTTTCTAATTTTATTTATTTCAGACCAGACCAGACTATCATTTAAGCACCAGGTATATGTTTCCCTCTTAACTTTACAAACACCTATTTCACGCAACACTCCACTCTCATCCGTCCATACTATTTCATTGATGTTTGGTTTTTTTAATCATATCAATTGAGTAGGAAAAGTGAACTTTAGAAAAATGCGTATAGTCCATTTCATTAGGATTATAGATTCTCCAAATGTCAAATAAATTATATTCATCTTTAATTTTCCTTAAAGCTTTAGCTTGTTTCATCACCATTTGATTTAGTTTATTTCCTTTCATTAATTTTTTGTCTATCTGTGCATCTAAAACCGCATTAAAGTCTCCTGCTAATATTACATTTCCCACTTTAATTTCATCTATTTTTTCTAATACAGTTCTTAAATAGGAAGCTGGTGAATAATTTGGAAGATACACGTTACAGAGTGTTAATAAAATGGAGTACATTTTACATATTATCACCAAAAATCTACCTTTAACGTCTTGTACTTGATGAATAATTTCTACCTTGATTTTTTTCTCCAAATACTATAGCAACTCCACTTTTTTTTTATCTTTATCAGAAGCATGTATTATCTGCGGCTTTTGACACTGTTGATCATCAACACCTTCTTCTCATCCTCCGCAATATCGGTCTTCAAGATACTGCTCTCTCCTGGTGCTCCTCCTACCTCTCCCAGCGCTCTTTCAGTGTTTCTTTCTCTGGCTCTGCCTCTTCTCCCCAACTCCTCTCTGTTGGTGTCCCCCAAGGTACAGTCCTTGGTCCCCTACTGTTCTCCATCTATACTGCCTCTCTTGGTAAACTCATTAGCTCCTTTGGGTTCCAATATCATTTCTATGCAGATGACACCCAAATCTACCTGTCCTCTCCTGATCTCTCCCCGTCCCTCTTGACTAGTGTCTCTGACTGCCTCTCTGCTGTTTCTAACTGGATGGCTGCCCACTTCCTTAAACTAAACTTGACCAAAACTGAAATTCTGGTCTTTCCTCCCAGTGTTGTTACTCCTGTGTCTGTCTCCCTCCAAGTCAATGGTGCTACCATCATCTCCACCACGCAGGCTCGCTGCCTAGGTGTTCTCTTTGACTCAGACCTCTCCTTCAAGCCTCATGTTCAATCTATCGCCAAATCCTGTCATTTCCATCTAAAAAACATTGCGCGCTTCCGCCCCTACTTAACGCCAGATGCGACTAAGGTTCATTCCACTGTCCTTTTATCTCCTTGACTACTGTAATCCACTTCTCAGTTGTCTTATGTGCTCCCAACTAGCGCCGTTACAGTCCCTAATGAATGCGGCAGCAAGGCTCATCTTCCTGTCCGCACGCACCTCCCATGCCTCACCCTTCTGTCAATCCCTACATTGGCATCCTATAAAATATAGAGCTCAATTTAAAATTCTGGTTCTTGCTTTCAAATCTCTACATAATGCTGCTCCCACCTATCTATCCTCCCTTATACACAAGTATGTCCCGTCCAGGCACTTACGATCTGCTGAAGACTTACGTCTATCTTCTGTCCGTACTTCCACCTCTGATGCTCGCCTTCAAGATTTCTCGAGGGCTGCACCGTTCCTGTGGAACTCGCTTCCCTCCTCCGTTAGATGCTCACCCAGTCTCCACTCCTTCAAAAAATCGTTAAAAACCCAGTTCTTCATAAAAACGTATCCATTAAACTGTTAATAGCTCCTGACTGATTCCTCTTCTGCAACTGTCATTAGTCTAATATTATCCTTACCTTTTTGTGTCATTTTACCCCACTCCCTCTTGCATGTAAGCTCATTGAGCAGGGCCCTCAACCCCTCTGTTCCTGTGTGTCCAACTTGTCTGGTTACAACTACATGTCTGTTCGTCCACCCATTGTAAAGCGCTGCGGAATTTGACGGCACTCTATAAATATCATAATAATAATAATAATAATAAGTGGGAATCTATTTCCTCCCCAATTTTGTTTATCTGTTTGCCTCCAGTGGGTTTCCTGTAAAAATCTAATTGCTTCTCACTCAGATATTTATATAATAGAGCTCTTATTGTGTTCATACTTTGAACATTAAGTGTGAGCATTTTTATCATGTTATTTCTCGAATAATCTTTGCATCCTTCTCTTCCCCATAATCTCTAATGTCTTTCCTCATTGTTGCAAAAACATACACATAGTAACAGAAAAAACATAAATTTAAACTCTTAGGAGGAAATCCTCCTTTTATAGCACAAAGACTATAAATTCTCATTTAGAGAATCAGTCTTTACTGTGTCTATTAATTTTAGACACTAAGTAGATGTGTCCGGAATGAGATGATACTATTTGATATTCATACCCCTTATCATAAAAAAAAAATATATATATATATGTATATATATATATAAACACATTGTGCTCCACTTTGTCCTTTCATCTTATAGTATTTTTGCGTGCATCAACAAAAAATTAAAACAATTTTACCAGTGTTTGCCAAAATTGCAGTTATGGATGAATTTAACCTTATTATCTTTTACTAAAATGTGAGTCTATCTGATTCATTTTAACTGTGCAATAAATATTATTTGTTAGACTATTATTTTAAATTTTAAACTTCATTTATATTAATGTCTATATTTTTTTGATTATATAACCTTTAATAAATTATTATCCCGTCAAACTTTTCTTTGTGTTAATTTTTTATATTTTACTATCAGCGTGTCAACTATACAGGTGCAACTTTGCAATTGAAACCTTCAGACCTTAATAGTTAATTGTGTCTAAATTAGAAACTCCCTTTATACATAAATAAAAACAAAATTTGTGGTCTAACCGTGTATACATAAAAAAAAATTAAAAAATTATGTTTTAGCCTTATCATTAAGAGTAGTAATGTCTCGAACAGTTCGCTGAACGGTTCGCGAACGGTTCGCCATGAGCGGTTCGCCACAGACTCATCATTGAGTAAACTTTGACCCTGTACCTCACAGTCATCAGACTCTTTCCAGCCAATCAGCAGCAGACCCTTTCTCCCAGACCCTCCCACCTCCTGGACAGCATCCATTTTACATTCATTGTGAAGCTGCATTCTTAGTGAGCTGTCCAGGAGGTGGGAGGGTCTGGGAGGGAGGGTCTGCTGCTGATTGGCTGGAATATGTCTGCTGACTGTGAGGCACAGGGTCAAAGTTTACTCAATGATGAGTCCGCGGCGAACCGTTCGTGGCGAACCGTTCGCGCACCGTTTGGCGAACCGTTCGGCGAACCGTTCGGGACATCACTAATTAAGAGCTCAAAGCTCTAATCTTAAGAGCTCAAAACTCTAATCTTTATATTGCACCATTCAAAAGGAGAAGTTTACACAGATTATACTTCTATTACTAGGTGCGAACCATAAAAAAAAAAAAAAGTTCTTTGTTTCTTCTCTCACAGCAGGCTTTTTATTTTTCAGCTTTAATTTTGGCTAACCAGCTCTTTGCTTCATTTACATCAGTAAAGGAAATTTTTTCTTGTCTCCAAATAAATTTTAGAGATGCCGGGAAGCCCCATTGGAATCTGATGTCATTTTTTCTTAAGAAATCTGTTACTGTTGAGAAGGATTTTTTCCAAGTCCTAGTAAAATGAAATAAGTCTTGCAAAAAAATTATGTCTTTGTAGATGAGATTTGTTTGGGGTTTTATACGGTTGGCTTTAATTAGATTATCTTTTACTGATGGTGAGCGAAAACTAACTATCACATCTCTTGGAAGATGCGAAGCAATTATATTAGGTTTACGAATTCGATGAAAATTTTCTATTTGATAGTCGACTGTAGACATTTCAGGAAGAACCTCTTTAAATAAGTTACATAGATAATCTTTTATTTTTTCTGTAGTAATGTCTTCAGTTATATTAGGTTTACGAATTCGATGAAAATTTTCTATTTGATAGTCGACTGTAGACATTTCAGGAAGAACCTCTTTAAATAAGTTACATAGATAATCTTTTATTTTTTCTGTAGTAATGTCTTCAGGCACGCCTCTGAGTCTTATGTTACTTTTTGTTGATCTATCTTCTAAAGCTGCTATTTTTTGTTCAAGATTTTCAGTTTTGTTTGATAAAGACAGCATTGTAGTCTTAAGTGTACTTATTTGAGTCCCAAACATTTCAAATTTTTTTTCCACTTCTTCTACTGATACTGCATTTTTTTTAATATCTTGTTTGATATCGCTAAAACGTATAAGCATATCTTGTTTTAATATGTTGAGTTGTGACTCCAGCAATTGTTTAAATCGATCTTGTGTACTGCTTGTAACAGTTACATGAGATTGTATGGCATTTGAACAGTTGGAGTTTCCAAATTAGTATTGGAGGTATTCACCGGGTGTGTCAAACATTCAATTTTCTGTTCCTGTGAATCTTTAGAAGGAGTTGTAAAAAAGCCAGATAGCCTCTTTTCCGTTGGCTGAACTGATTTAATTTCCTTCTTTTTTACCGTGGTAGTTTTTCTAGTTGCCATTTTATTTCTTAAATGAAGCTACTACAATAGGGCTTTAATTAAATGATAATAAACCTTATTTATTGTGACTAAAAATAAAAATAGTTTCAAATCTTCAAGAGGTTTATTTCAGTTCATTAATATTTCCTCCCCTTCTCTCTTTACATCTTCTTTTTCTTCTTTCCTTCTCTTATTTCAATAATACTTTCTTATTTTCCCAGTAATTGACAACTTCTGATGTGTTTTAATTGTCAAATATCAGTTTTGCTGCCTTATGGTTATTAGATTAATTATATGCCCTAATTGTAGCCTTAATTAAATTACTTTCGTCAAAATTTTAACCGTTTCTCAACGGTTAAGTAAATGCATTGAAAAGTTATGGCTTTCAGTTGTAACTAATTGTTGTTTATGCTTTGTCTCAGACCAATATTTATATGCAGATGCATTGCAGTATATTCAGTGGTTCTCACGATTTTTCCTCTTTACAATAATCCTTTGAAAGACTTTCTGTTTTTTTTTTTTTTTTGTATGCTCCTGTATGCTCGTCCAGAGTAACTTCCAAAGGAAAATGCTTTTACCTCCGAAGGAGCTCTGCGTCCGATATATTGTTATACTGTCAGTACTTGCTTGTGTTGTTTGAATTGCTGTAATACTGTTATGGTCTCCCGAGTTTCATATCCAGCCAGATAGTTTCAGCGTGGTTAGCTTGTCTCTACGCTGGTCTTCTTCATCTCCGTTTCGGACACACCCACCTCTAGCACGTGTGGCGTCTCACGTACCCCGTGCACTCATAAACAATCTAGCATGAGGTATATCACTAGGTGCCTGAGACTGAGCTGCCATGATAGTACAAAGAAGAGGAGAAGACAAGGAAAGGACAGTAGAGGCAATGATACACTCAGGTGGAATGATAGGGGAGGTATCTTGTTCATGTTCTGAATGATGTCAAATTGTCTAGATAGGGCGTCAGCCTTAACGTTCTTAGGACCTGGTCTGTATGTGATGATAAAGTTAAAGCGTGACAAGAACAATGACCATCTAGCTTGTCTAGAAGACAGCCTTTTAGCATCTCCAATGTATGCCAAGTTTTTGTGATCAGTTATGATCAGGAGGGGATCATTGGAACCTTCCAAAAGATGTCACTATTCTTTCAGAGCTAGTATAATGGCCAACAATTCTCTGTTAGCAATATCACAGTTACGCTCCGCTGGTGACAACTTTCTAGAAAAGAACCCACAAGGATGCAAAGAGGTATCCTGACTCTCCCTCTGAGAAAAAAAACAGCCCCTACCCCTGTCTCAGAGGCATCTACCTCAAGTATGAAGGGTTTGCTAGTGTCAGGATATACAAGTATGTCAGCAGAGGCGAATAATTTCTTAAGAAGCTCAAAAGCTTCTTTAGCTTCTTTAGACCATATAGTATAATTAACCGCCTTACGTGTCATATTGGTGATGGGGGCCATCACAGTAGAGAAACTTTTGATGAATCTCCTATACTAATTTGCAAACCCAATACAACTTTGAATGGCCTTTAACCCATTAGGTTATGGCCAGTATAGAATGGCTTGTGGTTTGCAAGGGTCCATCTTTAAACCAAAGGTCGAAATATTATATCGCAAAAACTGTACCTCAGTCTGATCAAATATGCATTTTTCAAGTTTGCAATATAGCCCATTTTTAAGCAAAGTTTGCAATACTTGCTTCACATGCCTAAGATGAATCTGGAGATTGGGGAAATAAATGAGAATATCATCCAGATATACTAATACAAAAGTATAAATGTAGTCTCTGAGAAAATCATTAATGAAATCCTGAAATATGGCTGGAGCATTGCATAAGTTGAAGGGCATGGCAAGATACTCATAGTGACCACTTCTCGTGTTAAATGTAGTTTTCCATTCATGACCCTCCTTAATCCTTACCAAATTGGAGTTTTTCAAACAATTCTGAGATAAGGGGAATGGGATAAGCATTTTTGATGGTGATCTTGTTCAATGCCCTATAATCAATACATGGCCGTCACTCTCCATCTTTCCTGGATACAAAAAAGAACCCCGCACCTGCAGGGGTGAAGAAGATTTACGTTTGAGACCTTTTTGTAGAGACTCTTTAATGTAATCCTCCATAATCCTACTCTCCTGTGGTGATAAAGCATAGACTGCCCTGTTAGGGGGCATAGCGCTGGGTAACAAATCTATGGAGCAATCATAAGATCTGTGAGGAGGTAACGTATTGGTGTGACTTTTACTAAACACTTCTTTAACCTCCCAGTGCTGCATAAGAATTTTGATAGCTGAGGCATAGGAGTAGGTAGAGCAACAATGTCCACTCTTTTAGTAATGGGTAACATCAATCTCTCACTACATTACCCCATTCCAGTATTTCCCCCTTAGCCCATTTAATAAGAGGATTATGCTTAACAAGCCATGGGAATCTTAGTATGATGGGACAAGAAGGGGAAGCAATTATTAGAAATGTAACAATTTCTTTATGTAAAGCTCCTATAGTAACAGTAAGTTTTGTGGGTAATTAAAGGTTGAGAGAAAGAGGTCTCCCATCAATGGATGATGATCTTTCCTTGATGAGTAGGAGGTGTTTACTGACAAATTGCATGTCGATAAAGTTTCCTGCAGCACCTGAGTCCATCAGGGCTTTACTTTTCTTTAACTTTTCTTGTTGCATAAAGCAGTAATATTAATCTACTTTGGGTAGTACCAGGTGACATATCCATTACACCTAAGACCGGTCCCCTTATGGTTCTTAAGTGTGCACGTTTTCCAGACGTATGGGACAAGCATTTCAAATATGTCCTTTCTTTCCAAAGTATAAGCAAAGAACTTCTTTTTTCCTAAACTGTCTTTCTGCCTCTGACAGTCTCATAACCTCTAACTGGATAGGTTTAGTTTCAGACTGCACAGGAGGGCCAGAAACAACAGGACTAGAGAAGTGAGGCACCAATGACATATTCATACATCTGGTTCTATTTCTAGTTATCTCCCTGTTCCTAAGTCGATTAAATATATGCATCACGTAAGTGATGTATTCATTTAATCTCCCTGGTAGTTCTTTGGCTGCAATCTCATCAAGGATAGTTTTGGATATTCCCTCTGAGAATGCGGTGATTCGTTTGTTATTGGTCCAGTCTACCTCAGAAGCCAGGGTGCAGAATTCTATGGCATACTCTCAGACAGACCGGTTTCCTTGCTTGATACGGATTAGAGCAGTGGAGGCGTTGCTCTCCCATCCCAATGGTTCAAACATTACTTTGAATTCCGCAAGGAATTCTTGGTATTTATGGGCAACAGTCTTATTACTTTCCCATAATGGATTGGCCCATGCTAAGGCTTTACCTTGTAGTTGGTTCATTAAGTACCCAATTTTAGCTCTATCCATGGGGAAAGACCCAGGTGAGGCTTCAAAATGGTACTCAATTTGATTAAGGAATCCCCTACATTCTAGAATATTACCTTCAAAATGTGGTGGTGAGGATAGGGATATATATACGATAGGTACAGTAGGTGGGAGTGTACCTGCCAAAGGAACCTCAGGCTGCAAATGAGCCGTACGTATTAGTAGCATATTGAAAGCTTGGGCAAATTGATCCATATGGTGATCATTCTCCTCTAGCTTTCTCTCACAAGCTACTATGTGCTGACACATATCTGCAAGATCTATGGTCATGTCGTACACCCTAGAACTAAGGGTAACATTTTACCGGACCTTAGAATGGCCGGACTTAACGTACATGAGAATAGTCAGAAAACTAGCCAAGGTCAGGGACACAGAATAAGACACAGCGATAAGGAAAAGCCAAAAGTCAAGGGTACCAGAAATCAGGGAAGTCAAAATGAAGCCAAAGTAAAAAAACAGAAAAACACGATCAGGAACACACTCTCGGATAACCAGCTAGTGGAAACCATGACAGAGCTCTGACCAAAAAGGTAATTTGGGTTTAAATAACCCTCTTGAGACTGTAATTGGTTGTCTCTGGCCTCTAACCCCAAAACGTGCATGCGCGTCTATAAAGGGACGTCGCACGCACGTTGGCACCATCTTTGATATGGGCGAAGGAGAATTTCCTATTAAAACCGGAACCGCAGCGGCCAGCATCTCTAGGAATGTCGTACTCGCTGGGGACCAGAACGGAAGGTGGTCGGACAGCGGTTTGCTGTGACCAAGGTAAGTGTACAATATCTCTGTGGCCACTTAGTTTATGTGGCCACGCCGGCAGAAGAACGGGGAGCTGTGACAGTTGTACTACACCTTTCTTTTGTGAAATGCTCAGTTATTTTTGTTATTTCACACCAAACTGGTTTGAGCACCGCTTGCAGAACCTGCATACTAAGATAATGCAGAAAGCAAATATCTCTGGTCTAGTTTCACAAAATCAATACTATAGTTTTGCACAGACAACAAATAGTTAACAAAATATACCTGCAAGACAGATTTACCAGTTGCCTGTACGACTAAGAGATGTAAGGCTGATTTATGCTGTAATATCTAGTTACCTATCTACTAGCTCTGGGCAGCAATTTCCTTTGTCACTTCTTTAGTGAGTGTTTTCACTCAGTGTAGCCCAAAAGTGGTAACTAAACAACATTTACAGTATGCCCCAAGGAATACAATGGCCATT